CTCACAAATAAGACCGAAGCACCCGAAGGTGAGACACTAGGTCGAATAAATCCCTTATCAAGGATATCTTTCAAATGCTCTTTTAACTCTTTCAACTCTCCTGGATCCATTCTATATGGTGGACTAGAGATAGGTCGAGTATCAGGAAGAATACAAAGTCTATTTCTCTCTCAGGAGGGACTCCGTAAAAATCATCTAAATAGACCTCTGGAAACTCACTCACAATTGGAACTGAATGAATAGGTGGTGTCTCAACACTAGAGTCATTAACTCGGACTAAGTGATATATGCACCCCTTGAAAACTAACTTTCTGGCCTTATGGTACGAAATAAAATGACCCTTAGCTAGGCACTGCTGAATTTCTCCTCCACTCTATAATTGCCTTATTAGGAAATTAGAACTTAACTATTCGAGTTCTACAATCAACTCAGGCATAACAAGCATAAAGTCAGTCCATACTTAGAATAATATCAAAGTCCACCATATCTAACATGACTAAGTCAGCCATGGTGTCCTTGTGATTGACAGAGATGACACAATCACGATAAACTCTCTCAGCTAGAATAGACTCACCAACATGTGTGGAAATATTGAAGGGCTCAAGAAGTTGTTCGGGAAGAATGTCAAACCTCATAGCAACATATGGAGTCACAAAAAATAGACTCGCACCTGGATCAAGCAATGCATATACGTCAAAAGTAAAGACTTTGGTTATACCAGTGACAACATCTGGCGAATTCTCCTGCTTGTAGAGACTGGTCATAGCGTATATATGATTAGATCCTCCATTTGTCCCTGAAGTAGCTATTCTAGGTGCACCTCTGTCAGGCGGAGCCGCTGAAGAAGATTGGGCTCTATTGCCCCAATTACCATTTCCCTGTCGGTTCTTCGGGCACTCTCTCATGAAGTAAACATCTTGACCACACTTGAAGCAACCAGTAGAGCCATCCCGACACGCTCCTAGGTGGTTTCTACCACACTTAGCACAAGTAGGGGTCCAGTTGGCCCCTTGTGCCACACTACCCTGAGATTGAGGAGGCCTAGCTTTGAAGTTCTGCGAATTCAAATTCTGGAACTCACTTCTATTCTTTGGTGCAAGTGCACTAGCAGATGATAGAGCATGCCAAGTTGGCCTTTGCAGAAAAGATGACCGGTTCACATTTCCGGCCTTTTGCTGCCCGGAATCATTACATGTTGTCTTAGCCTTCTTGTTTCAAAACTCTTCCTTATCTCTGAGTTTATCTTCCTCAACCTGTTGTACATGGATCATGAGCCTGGCTATGTACATGTCTCCTATCAGCATAGTTATCTTGCCCTCCTTACTTGACAAGCGAGACAACCCAGACATGAACAAGCTCATCCTGTTCCTCATATCAACCACCATCTTCGAAGCATAACGGGACTGAGTTAACTTGAGGCTATACTCATGCACACTCATGGATTCCTGCTTCAAGTAAAGAAATTATCTTACCTTCGCCTCCCTCAAAGCCCCATGAATTCACTTCCAAACACAGCCCAACTCAAAATTGGTGCCCATTCAGCTTTACTTGACTTTTATTGGTCGAACCAAATTCTAGCAACACCCTTCAGTTGGTATGCAACTAACTCCACACGCTGAACATCTGTAACATGCATCACCTCACACACTTTCTACAACTCTTCCACAAAGTTTTCTGGATCCTCAATGAAACATGATCCTGTGAAGTCTAGAGGATTCATCCTTAAGAACTCACGAACTCTAAATGTACAATCACATCCTGTCGAACCTCTCTCTCTCTTAACAACCTTGGTTGGCCACAACTTGATTCAACATTCAGATAGCATTCCGAAACTCAGTATTAAAGACCTCTCCTTGAGGGAGTTGCACTTCTGGTGCATTGGGAACCCCTTGATCCTGGGGATCAACATTCCTCATAGCAGGATGACCTCGAACAACTTTTCCTGGAGGCATGATCTAAAAAGATACGCGCAAGCACTAATTAGAAAGAAACTTTTATAGAGTTGAACTCTATCGCACGAAAAAAGAGTAAGAAGAAAGGAATTGTTTCCTAAATGTTGTAACCTCCTAATTATAGATGTGGCACGCTTCACACCGATAAATAGGACTCTACAGACACGGCTTCATATATACCCTAAGACTCTCGAACTTTGTACTCTAATGTCAAGTTTGTCACGCCCTGAGCCTACACCCTAGACGTGGCTGGCACTCAAGAACCATTGTTGGTCCCCAAGCGAACCGTTGGCCTGGCTCAATTCTCAGCGGAAGACTTACTCAACAATATATGAACTCAACAGTAAGGCTTTACTCATTTGTATTTAAAATAAATAAACTCAGAAATGTATAGAAACATTCAACTGGCCAAAGAAGACAACTCAAGTCTTAAAATTAACAATGGGAATGGAAAAGACTTCTCAAAACATTACTGTCTATGAAGCCTCTAATAACTATGATGTATGTTGGGACAAGACCCACTACATCCTAACAAAACAAACCTGAAAACCTCAATGTGAAACCCTCCGGAAAGCAAGGAGGCTCACCAAAGCTAGCTTGAATAAGACAGGATCAAGGTAGCGCTGGTTGATGATCCTGAATACATGTATCTGTATCATGAAATGATGCAATCCAAATTGAGTTAGTACATTGAATGTACGAGAATGTAAGAGGAATACTGAACATAACATGTAAGCTTGAACTGATAAAAGGAAACCATACTCACCTCAACTCAACTAAACTCAATAAGAAAGCAATGATAAAGATGCAATATATCTATAAATCAAGCTTTTAAAATAGTAAATGGTAACTCAAATGTATATAAAAATACAATAATAACTCTTTACTCTTATTTGGAAGATTCTCTAACCGACAACCATCACTATGAGCTACGTGATGATACAATGTCTCGTCCACGCTGCCAGAACTATCCTATACCTTGCCAGAGTACAATACATCATCAACTAAGTTGATCCACTAAGCTATGCATAAAAAGAAATAAGGAATCATCGAAAAACTATGACCATTTACCCATGTTGGCGTACCTGGTTTATGAGGATTTTGAGTTGTCTGAACTCATCCCCATATTGGTGCTCAATACTACTCTCAATAATATATATACCTCATGTTCATGTGTTTAAAAACATAACTCATCCTCAATTTGAGATAATTACTCAAAAGATTCTCTTAAAAGAGATGATGCTCAAAAACTCCTCATGAACTAGTTTGGAAATCAAGGTTTCCTCTAGTATTAAAATGTAAAAGTGTTACATACTTGGGAATAATTAGTCCCCTCATACTCATTTTGAAACATGAACTCCACTCTCCTTAGTCTCATACTCATTTACTCAAGTCTTAATACAAATTTTAAAAGATTGTTAAAGACTTCTCAAAATGACTCCCTCAAACTTTACTCTTAACTCTATCGTAAATTGGAAATGTGGATTCAAGAGTTATGATTAGGATATATAATATTTCTCAATGATTAGATAAATTTTAGATAATTGATAATAAGAAACGAGTGAAAACACAAATTTGAGAGCATAAGCGCGACGCGGAGAGAGATTTAATTTTTGGTCGCGAAAATAAATTATGAGACAGAGGACTCCGTATCCTCTCCGCGACGTAGAGAGGGGTTGTTCAACTGGGTACAAAAAATCAGAAGCGTCTCCGCAACGCGGACCTGGGCGCATAATTTTGCCCGATCTTTTCTTTCTCTCCCAAACTCGATTCAATTCATACCCACTACAAATCTATGATCAACATTCATAAATTTTCATAACCCAAAATGTTTTCAGCGAAACCCTTACAAAATCTATCAAGTGACTCAACTCATTTGCAAAACCCTCGCCTCCAGAACTCAAAACCAAACTCCATTATCAATTAAACTCAAGAAATACTCAAGAACTCCAAAATCAACTTCAAGAACGAATTCATGGATACAAGTTTACATGATTGTCGTGAGGGAGAAAAAACTCAACACTATGAAAGCTTAAATACCTCGAAAGAACTAAGTTCTTTGGCGAAAATCCCGAAACTCGAATGAACACTTGAACTTTTTTCTTTCTCTCCTCTTGAAGTCTTCTCAAAAATTCTAAGCGTGATTTGAAATTGCTCAAACTGAATCCAATCATTTTAGACACCTAAAAGATTAACAAAAAAGATCTAGACTAGTGGGGGTAAGGAAAATACCAAAATACCCCTCCTTAAATCGGATGGATTGCCTTAACTAGATAGACTACACTCAAACGGACATATCTCCTTCATCCAAACTCGGAATTTAGCAAACTTGGCGGCGTTGAAAAGAGGACTCAACGAACTTCGATTTGATACCTCATGGGACACCTAACTCATCATGTGCTGAAATTTATGGTCGTTTGAAGTTGACTCAAACCTCACAATTTGAAGATTCACTTGTACCAATCTCAATGTAGTTCTTTCTAGTTTAGCTCTTTCTAAGAATGAGGTGTTACACAACTAATAAGTTGTTCAATTCTATGTAGAACCATCATCATTTCAAAAATCGCCCAAAGGATTTGAGAGGAGCCCATTAGTATGCTTTAGTCCATCAATTAAAAATCTTACGTTCAATTCTTATTTTATGTGAATCATGTTGTTGAGCCAAAATATGATATGCATTTAAATTCTTTTATAACTCTTCATTACATAGAACATTTATGAAAGGAGAAAGTAGATATTCAAATTCTTGGATAATATTGGCACCCGAAAGATAGTATAATTAGGATGTTATAATTTATTAGTGGAAGGACCCAAAATTTGATGTGTGAATCTAGAAGTGTAGTATTCAAATGTAAAGGTAATTAGCATTACTCCTAACTAAATTAATCGTACATGGTCAAAAGGAGGAAAATCAACATATATATTTTTTAAAAATGTTACCAAAAAAAAGATACTAAAACATACATTTTTAAACATATAGAGAGAATTGACTTCTTCACAACATTTCCTTTTAAGGAAAGATTAAAGTTGCAACTGAAGAAAAAGATCAAGGGCAACAAGCTAGGTTTTTACTAATGCAACATAAATAAAGAGAGAAAGAAAATTATGTAGCTCTCAAAATGAACTTTCCCCCATACCCCGAAATTTTTTATTATGTGTCTCACACGATTGACACTAGTTTTCTGAAGCTTGTTTTTATCTCACAAAAGAGTGGTTACACTCTTTTTTTTATGCGAGATAAAAATAAGTGTCATACAATTAATATCAGTTGTGTGAGTCGACAAAATAAAAAAAATCCCCCATAGGCACGCGATATATATCATGTATATTGTCAATTTGAAGGATCATGATCATTGTCTTGTTCAATTTCTGAAGCAGGTTCATCCTCTTCTTCTAAGCAATCAATACCATAAGCTTCATGTCCATTTCCAAATGCTTTAATATGATCTTTAAGTGACCTTTTATGCTTAAAATCTGATCCACAAGTGCAATACCAAAGCTTACCACAATTCTTCTCATGAGTTCTCCAATCACCTCTCACAGCAAATGCTTTGCCACATTTCCTACACATGAATGGTTTAATTCCATGTTTTCTTTTGTAATGAGTCTGAAGGGTTCTGAAATCTTTCAATGGCTTAGCTCTTGGATGATCAATGTTGTTCCTACAGCCAGGTGAACAACAGAAGCAAGGTAACCTAAGCATTGCTGTTGGTTGTGTTCCCCTTAGAGATTCTGGTCCTTTTCTGTATTGAGATCCATGCCCCCACATGTGCATCTGTTTAACAATATACAACAAATAGGTTACAAAAAGATGCATGTATAATGAATTACTACATTTAATCTGTTGCAGCATATCAATTTATTTGATATAGTTTAACTCGACACAAAGTTTAAGAGAGTGTTTGGTTTGGCTTAAAAATTGGTCAAACATACTTTTAAGTCAGTTTTTTACTTCTGAGAAATGTTTGACAAATATAAAAGTAACTTAAAATAAGTCAAAAATTAATTAAAATAAGTTAGAAAGTATTTAGCAAGGTAAAAAATAACTTAAAATAAATTTAAAATGACTTAAAATAAGTCAAAAACCAAACGAACTCACTCTAAGATTTCTACTAAAAAGAAAAGTAAGTCATATAAATTAAAACAAATGAAGTGCAAATTAATGTTATTAGATACTTCCTTCATCCACTTTCAATTGTCATGATATACTTTTTTAGAGTCAAATTATAAGAACTTTAATCAAAATTTTATGATGTATTTTTTCATCATATTGATATACAAAAAAAATTACAATTTACAGCACTTTTCGTATAGTTTTTGAATATCTATTTTTTTTTAAAACATCGAATTAATATAATTTAATTTAACTTTAAAAATTAGTCGAGTAGCATTACATGAAAATCAAGAAATTCTCCCAGTACTAGCTACTACAATCGGATTAATTAACAAGGTGTTAGGTCATATAATTACGGGACGAAGTTAATGAAGGGCTGCAGAATGACTTCAAATTTAATTTTTCTGTTAGTTATTAGGTCATGTCATTTGATACACATTGCTCATTATAATAACTTGTAGCCTTTATGAAATGCATTATTTAACTACCCAAGTAAATAATTAAGTTTTGAGTTTGATATGCAATCATGTCAAAAACAATCACTATTTTCATTTAATATATGGTGGATTTATTTTTGAAGCTTGATGATAAGATTTTGTGATGATATACTATGACTAAAGAATCTTTCTTTAATTAAAGATTGCATGTAGAAATACTTTTGACAATATGTTAACTTATATAAAGAAAAAGTTTTAACTTTTGTTGGAAACCACACACAATTATTGGTGATCTATTTGATAATTTGCATGTAGTCATTTTAAATTTGAGGGGAAAAAAGGTAAAAATAAAAAGTTGACATATTGTCAAGGGAAAAATACAAAAATTATAGTTCATAGAATATGCATATACTATGTGTGGGTTTACACTTTACATGCATGTTTCTTTGTACACTTTTGGATAATAGTTAATTTAAGTTGAAAAAAAACAGTATCTCAACTTAAAGTTCAAAAAAAAGTATTTGACTATGAATATTACAAAAAGACAACGACGGTGGATTATTCTGAGGTTCCAAAATAAAAAGTTAAAAATAAAGGAAAATTATTATTCAAAGGAAATATTTGTCAATTTTTTTTAAGTAATATTTATTTTTACTCTGTCAAGAGATTAGGCAAAATTAGGAATTACTGAGTACACACAAGTGCCTATGTGTAATACAAACTTCAAGGACAAAAGGCATTTTAGCTGTGTGTTGTTCAATCAAATAAAGAGAGTCACTGACCAAAGTTCTGATTAGTTGGACCAGGTTGATTTCTCAGATCCCCATAAATCATTCAGAAAAAAAGAAAAATAAAACAAAGGAGGGAAAAGGGGAAAAAAATATAAAGATATTTTAGGTGGCTTTTGTTGTGAAATAGAAAAGAAAAAGCAAACCCTTGCAAGGACCCATATAGTGCTGTCTTTCATACTATCAAAAATCCAGCTAAGGATTCGTTCGGTACGAAAGATAAGGAATAATTAATTTCTTGACTAATTTTAAGATAAGCTTAATCTATGTTTGGTTTAGAAAAATCACAAAGTAACTAATTTTTGGATTGTGAAATAATTAACAATTTTAAATAATTAATCTCAGAATAACTTGTTCCAGCAAACGATCCCTAAAAGTAAAAGGTTTAAAATCATGCTAGAAAAGAAGTGTAGCTATAGCAAATTAGGGAGATGGGTTTTTTCTCTCTTTTTCTACAAAACAAAAAGAAGAAAGGCAATGATGGAAACACAAAAGGCAAGTTTTAGCCTTTAGCCTGTATAGGCTTTTAGGATAAATCATTATAAAAAATTTGTTAGTTTAAATAATAAATAAAGTAACACAATTAGCTAGTAGATAGCATACCTGCATGTTATTGTATCTATTGAAAGTTTTGAAGCAAAGTGGACATGAAAATTGTGTAGGACCAATTAAAATTTGAGCTGGTGTTGGAATCCAATATTGACCCTTGTGAAGTGTTGAAGAATATCCAATATTAGCCAAAGTAACTACTTCTTGTTCATGTTCTTCTTGTACTTCTTCTTTGTTGGTTGAAGAATTAATCCTTGAGATAACATCATGAGGACTTAGATTAGGAAGCCCTAATTGTAGTGCTACACTAACACTTTCATCATCTTGATTTTCTTCATCACCAAAGCTCTCATGATCTTTGTTTACCTTACTATAATAATTAGTATTATTATGATCAACTTCCATAGTAGATGAATAATTATCTTGATGTTGATGAATTGGACTCAAACTAAGTAGAGGAAGAGGTTCTTTCAAAGGAGGAGAAGGTGGTGGTTGTAAATATTGAAAATTTGTTGATGAGGATAAGATATAGTTATTATTATAATAAGAAGAGAAAGGATGAGGAGGAGGAGGAGTAGAAGATGAGGAAGAATGGTAAATAGGGTTGAAATTATTGAACCATCCATGAAAGTAATTAGTGTAAGGATCACCCATGATTGAAGATGAGATAGAGGGACACAACACAAAGACAAAAAAGTTTATTTATAAAGGCTACTATAGCTAAAGAAGAGTGAACAAGAACACCAAAATTGAAAAAAGTAGTGAAAAGGAGAAGACTAATTAAGAAACATAGGTAGATCATATGCAAGGGGCAAAGAGAGATGTTTTAGGGCAAGAGAGTGGTGGGGATTGAGGCAGTTAAATAAAGTAAACCCTAGTGGAGAGACATCACTTCAAGGAGATGACTAAACAAGAGAGAAAAATATACCCCTAAAAATAAAGAAAGAACAAAAAAGATCTAATGGTAGAAGAGAGAGCAAGATAAATCTAGGGACTTGAAACAAGTATAGGAAAAAGAAAGAAAAAAAGAGTAGTTTATCTTTTGTACATACATGTATACTCCTTCCGTCCTAATTTATGTAACGCAGTTTGATCTGATATAAAATTTAACAAAAGAAAAAAGAAACTTTTAAAATTTATGATCAAAATAAATCACAAACAATTATGTGATTATAAATTATTTTATTAAAATAAAATGATTATTTTAAATTAAAATGTTAAATATATAAATATGTCATTACAATTAATAACTACGTAAATCATACAAATTGCAACAGGAAAACACTTAATATAATAAAAAATTACAATAAAATCATTCGGAAAAATATAATTATAAGTATTTGTACATAAAAATGAGATTGATAACCTATTGTTTAAAAAATAATAATAAGACAGACTATATACATACTCTTTCAATCTTAATTTATGTGCATTTCTCACTTTCAAGATTCAAATTATATAAACATTGAATAATATTTTAATATACTACATATTTTTCATTATATTAATATGAGAGAAAATATAATTTATAACATTTTTATATAAGTTTAAATATTAAATTAATCTTATTTTCTTTTATTTCAAAAACTAGTTAAATTAATCATAAAAATGAAAAGTAACACGTAAATTAAAAAGGAAAGAATATATAACATATACTAAAATTTAATAACAAGTGTGTATAAATAAAATAAAATAAAATAAAAAGAAACCCTTTATGACAAGCTTTGAAACCCAACATATATTTTTTGTAATAAATAAGTGAATAAACAAAGTTAATGAATGGAAGTTAAGACAAGACCATGAAATTAGGGTTGGCTGCTGTCTGCTATCAACAGAGAGAGAGAGATATGTCACACAGGAATAGCATGCATACAAAAAAGGTCATTATAATTACTCTCTCCCTTTTATTTTGCCCCACCTCTATATCATATATAAACATAATATTTTATTTTAATTGTTTATTCTAACAAATTAAGATTTTTTTAATACTATTTTTTGTATTAAAAACCTATATAAAATAATACTCCCTCCGTCCACAATTGTTTGTCAGGGTAAGGTCATGTACACCCCTCAAGGAAAATTTAATAGAAGGTGTAATTTGACTAATATAACCCTACTATACCAAGAATACCAAAAGTCTACATAACTTTTCAATTGAACTACACTATCATTAAGGGCAGAATTGGGAAAAGGTGATTAATTGTTTCTTGATTGTTTAAATTGACAATTAATCTTGGACATCTATTTTCAGTATATCTGCCAAATAATTGTGGACGGAGGGAGTAATAATTAACTTTTTTTCACGCACGCATAGGTCTCTATTTGGGGAAGTGCTCCTTACCAAAAGAGTTTTTCAGAACCCGAGACATCTGATTAAGAAAGAAACAACTTTATCCATTGCACCATTTTCAATGATGGTAATGATAATGATAATTAAATTTAGAAGTTCATAATATCATTAATAAAATTAATTTAGTAAAATAAATATATAATTAAAATTTTCTTAACGATATATCTGGTCAACGTGAGCCAAATAATACTCTCTGCGTTAACTTTTACTTGTTTACTATTTCAAAAATAAATTTTCATTTTTATTTGTCACCTTTTAACATATAAAAAAGATTATATTTTTTATATTTTACCCTTAATATTAATTAGTTATTTCTTTAATCAATTTTCAAAATTTAATATTTTAAACATCAATTAATAGAAATAGTGTAATAAAATAAGTATATCAATTATTATTTTCTTAATAAATATGTCAAATCTAAATACCCCATCCATTTAAAAAAAAATGGTCTAGTTTTACTTGGTACAAAATTTAAGAAAAAATAGAGAGAAGACTTTTTTATTTTGTGATTCTAAATAAAATTATATCAAATATATCAAAACATCTGTTTATCTTGTGATTTTAAACATGTCACGTGAACAAATAAAATTAAAGTATTGTAAAAAGAAAAAAATCATTCTTTTTCAAACAGATTGAAAAGAAATATTTTAAACAAATGAAGTATGACAAGTAAAAATGAACGAAAACAGTGTGATATGGGAGAGTAGGAAGATGAATTACTGGTGTTGGGAATGAGAGAGGTTTGAATACACACCGGCAAATGCTTTGATTGAAGAGCTATGGTCGGGTAGAAAGAGAATGAATGGGTGGTGGTCATTGCAAAGCTAAGGGGGGTGGGGAGTGTCGACCCTACAAACCTTTGGATCAAACCTCTAAAACACTATACTTGTCACTGTTTCACACCACAGTTAGCCTTTGAACTACTACTGTTCACACTTTATTTTTTACTAGCTTATTGTTTTAAAAATACTATTCTTTTTGTTTATTTTTATTTGTATTGTATTAAAGTTAAATATATGGGGTAGAGTGTTATCGTGTCAAGAACTTTCATGTTCAATAGATGTAAATTGCGGAAAAACAATGCAAAAATCGATGGATAAGATCGGTATAAAAAAAAAAAAAAAGGGAAAAATTGATTTAGTCTATCGGTTTTTATTATTGCTATAAAATGAATAATAGGAAATCGACGGATGTAGTTTTTAACAAACTAGTTAGTTTACGTCCTTTGATTTTAATCAACCATGTTTGTCGGTTCTTCGAATTTGAGGCACCAAAATTTGACGTAGATGAGTTTGTTGGTTTGGCCAATAAACTGATCTCTGTCCGTCGATCTTGGCCCTTGTGTTTCTAGTAGCTTTTAATAGTGAATGTTAAAGATGAATGTGTGGGCATAATAGGCGGGATAAGATTTGGAATATTGAAGATATTTAAAATAACGTGGTAGTGGCCTCCATGGTGAAGAAAGTAAGACTGAGATATTTTGAACATGTGAAGAGGATATGTGCAGATGCCCAGTGAGGAGGTGCAAGAGGTTTAATATAGAGGGTACAAGAAGAGGTAGATGTATGCTGAAAAAGTATTAGGAGAAGGGGATTAGATAGGACATGATGTAACTTCAGCTTACCAAAGATATGATCTTAGATAGAAAGGTGTAAAGATCACGAATTATGAGAATGTTAGTAGGTAGTGGAGTGTTGTTTTGCTTTTTGACGGTTTTACGCATTAATTGTATGTCTTGCTTTTAATATCCATCATAATTTTTTTTATTAATTGTGATCTGATTATCGCATTATTTTGTTGTTACTATTGTTTCTTTCTCGTAGGACTTGCATTGTTTTCCTTATTAGTTATGTTGCTATGTTTTCTTCTTCTTTCTACTGAAATATGTTGCACTTAAGTCGAAAGTCTTTCAGAAACAGTCTCAGACCCAATTTGAGGGATTCCACGGGCAATGTTGTTATATTGTCATTGTTCTTATTATTGTTGTATACATATTAATGTTAAATATTTATTTTACTTGTTCAATTTTAAACGTCAAGATTTAATTTATTATTTGATACCTATATATGATCCTTATTATTATTAAGTACTCATTCTTCAATATTTGAATGACTTGTAATAATTAATTAATAAGAATGAAATAGTAAAATTATTATTTTATTTATTATATTTAAAAAAATATATATCAAATAAAACATAAACAAATATACATGGATGCAGAGAGTACTAAATTTGTTAACCCTCATCATGTCTTTTTGGTGGCTACCTAGCTAAAAAGTTTTTATGTATATACACTATTGTATCACATAACTCAACTTTGAAGGTTGATTTTGCTGATTAGGGTATTTTTTTAAACTTATTTTTTGTTAAAAGATGTTTGGATTTGGATAGTAGAAATTACGTCTCTAATTCAAATTATTCAAAATTAAGAGTACTTTCAAAAAAGAAATTACGTTTCTCACTCAAATTATGTCACATAAATTAAAATATTATCGAGGAATTTAATAAATTTCTCTCTGAATATTAAACTTTTACTACGTATAAAAAGTCAATATAGATTCATCGGACAAGAATAATCATTTCGGTTCTCATAGAAATGGCGATCATTCTCAAGAACGAAAAAGACAACACTGAGGGAAGTCATCTATGGCTATGAGTCACTAAAACGATGACAGGAGTGTCCTTTTTCTATCAATAGAGGAAGAAAAAAATAAGTTTTACTCACCTTTTACAATATGAAAATAGAAATAAAGGTCAAATATGCCTATTTGTTACTTGATTTGCTTTTATATATAATATATATTATAAAGAAATATCATCAACACTAAAACTAAGAACTGATGAAGAAAATTATTGCACAAACATAGCTTTCACCTCCTTTTTATTATTCTTTATTTTATGATATAGTTTATTTATCAAACTTAGTCATTTCAGTTTCTGCTATCTCTCGGTTTTGATACACGTGTTAAACCATACGTGTGTTTGCCTGCCTCCTCTCTGCTACTCCTTGCCAAACTCAACAGAGCAATCATTACTTTAATAAACTTAAAAAATGTAGTTAAACGTTTTGACTTAAATTTATTTCTTACTCTTTCCGTCTCAATTTATTTGATCATAGTATTTTTTTACTTGATACAAAATTTAAAAGAAAACAAAAATATTTATATGATTATAAATCATTTCATAAATAGTGAAATTGATACTCCTTTAATTTGTTTTTACTTGTTACATTTGAATTTGATAGATCTATTAGAAAATTAAATGACGTGACATTTTTATGACCACAAGATTAAAGGTTATTTTGGTATCATAACTTTAATTTAGGACTACAAAATTGAAAATCCTTTTTTATTTTTTTAAACTCAGTATCGAGTCAAACTAGATCATTATTTTTTAAATAGTAATTAATTAGTTTGGAATAGTAATGCACAAGTAAAAATAAACAGAGAATATAGTTTAAAATTAAATTATCACTAAATATAAAAATATGTTATTTTTATTGAGGTTAATTATAAAGAAAAGTGTGCTACACATAAATTAGGACTAGGAAATACTTGGAAAAAAAATACTTATTTCTTTCCTAAGATTAGATCAATAGTCT